TATATTACACACATTTTCATAAAAAGTTAAAAATTTATCCCAAACAACTATCTTTTTCCTTTCACTTTTTTAGTCAAAAAAGACAAAAAGTGCACTTATTTAGTCTTCCTAAACTTGGCCTTAGAAAGATTAAACAACCATGATTGTGATTGATGTATTGATGCATACACCATGACAGTTTGGCCATGTATAGACAGGTTGACAGCGTGAAGAAAAAACTCCTTGAAAAGTTAGAACAATTTATTGTCGACCTTGAACTTGATTCTAGAGAAGTAAGCAATACTTCATTGGATCATGATGGACCTTTTAAATAAGGAAATTACCCTGATTCAGTTCCTTCTGCTGCTTTTGCTATTTTACATTTTTTCTAAGCTTCAAATTATTATATTGTAAATAATTTTTTTTTTGTTTCTTTTTGCAGATGCTAATCTTTTGAGCACGTGATGATATCTTCGCATATCGATATTGGAGTTTACTGTTAATACTAAAACAAGCTATAATATATAGGTTTTTTATTTGTACTGTCGATACTTTTGTTTTGTTTTAGATACAAATTTGAGTTCTTGAATTATCAAAAATTATTAACATTGTTGGAGGATGTTTTATATATTTTTGTAAGGAATCTTTGGTTGACATTGTATTGTTACATGGTGCGTGTATATTATTATTCGTATATATGATTTTGTGAATGTGGATATGTGTGAATGTGGATGTGAATGTATTTTATTTTAGAGAATATTAATAATTTGTACAAGGAGTGAATTAATAAAATATTTATTTATTTTATGAAAATAATTATTTTGCAACAGTAATAAACCGTCACTACTGTAATCATCATTTCCTTGCATTTTATTTGCGACGTGTTAACCTATCACATATACATATTAGTGCCATCTTTAGCAACGGTTTAAATTGTCGCGAATACATTATTGATTATCAATTTATTTATTTACTAAAAATTGGACTTTTTGCGACGGTCTCAAACGTCGCAAAAGGTCCACATATCGTCACAAAAGACTTTTTGCAACGGAGTAGCGACGGGAAATGAGGGGTGGCGGAAAGGGGCGTGACAAAAGGTATTTGCAATGGTTTAACCTAACACAAAAAAACGAAAAAAATATCACTTTTAGCGACGGTTTAGGATGTCATCACCAAAAACTTTTTAAGAGACAGTAGTTGACGTCGCAAAAAGTATTATTAGTGACGGTCTTAAACGTCGCAAAAAAAATTAAATCAATAATGTATTCGCGACAATTTAAACCGTCGCTAAAGATGGCACTAATATGTATATGCGATAGGTTAACCTGTCGCAAATAAAATGCAAGGAAATGATAATTACAGTAGCGACGGTATATTACTGTCGCAAAATAATTATTTTCATAAAATAAATATATATTTTATTAATTCACTCCCTGTACAAATTATTAATATTCTCTAAAATAAAATACATTCACATTCATATCCACATCCACATCCACACATATCCACATTCACAAAATCATATATACGAATAATGATATATATGTAACCATGTAACAATACAATGTCAACCAAGCATTCCTTACAAAAATATATAAAACATCCTCCAACAATATTAATAATTTTTGATAATTCAAGAACTCAAATTTGTATCTAAAACAAAACAAAAGTATCGACAGTGCAAATAAAAACACCTATATATTGTTTTATTATCAACAATAAGCTCTAATATCGATATGCGAAAATATCATCACGTACTCAAAAGATTAGCATCTGCGAAAAGAAACAAAAAAAAAATTTATTTACAATATAATTAATTTGAAGCTTAAAAAAAATGTAAGACAGCAAAAACAGCAGAAGGAACTGAATCAAGGTAATTTCCTTATTTAAAAGGTCCATCATGATCCAATGAAGCATTGCTTACTTCTCTAGAATCAAGTTCAAGGTCGACAATGAATTGTTCTAACTTTTCAAGGAGTTTTTCCTTCAAGCTGTCAACCTGTCAATACATGGCCAAACTGTCATGGTGTATGCATCAATACATCAGCAAGGTTGTTAAAATCGCTACGATCCATTTTTGGAGAATCGATCTAGATCGCATGATGAATCGTATTTTGCTCAGGATCGGAACAGGATCGTTAGGATCGGTCATGGGATCGTAGGATCGTATTTGGATCACGATCCTTTACAATCCTACTTTTGGCCTTTTTCTGCTATTTTTATTACAGGTTTGATGCACCTTCTCTCTTTTCTAAAGACCCACGACATAAGATTAGGGCAAAATATTGGGGGAAAGTTGGTCACGAGAGCTTAGCAGCCTCCATCTAGCCTCTATCCAGATTCCAGCTCCAGGTATGCTTCGTCTTCTTCGTCTTCTTCTTCCTCTTCTCTGTGCTTCGACTCCTTCTCTTCTCCTCTGTTCGACTCCTTCTTCTCCTCTGTTCGTCTTCTTCGACTCCTTTTCTTTTTCTCCTCCATCTTCTTTTTCCTCTGCTACTGTTTTTTTTTTCTTTTCTTCCATTTTTCTGTCTTTCATTTCCCTTTTGTTTTTCCCCCTTTTCCACTTCTTCTTCCATTTTTCCATTTTCCTGTCAACCTAATTAAATTAATTTTGAACTTGTAATTTATTTTTACAGATACCACCAAGGAAAAGTGCGCAGATACCAGTGTACCACCAAGGAGAAGTGCAGCTTCATTTCATACATGTTTGTTCTCAATTAATTTGTAATTGTAATTTGTAACATGACTTTAGATTACCTAGTGTTCATGTTGGTAACAGTTGATTCAATGTTTGCTCTGTCTTTTTATTAACATAAGCTAAATTTGCTTATGATTATGTAGTCTTTCATTTGTAATTTTTAAATTAACTTCTAAATTCTAATTTATCCTTATCTATAATTTCAATGAGGCCTTTGTAGGGCATCATGGTATTACTATTGTAATCAATTTATTTTTTACTGTAACTTGACTTTTTTCTCTTTGATATTTCACAACTATCAAATTGTAAATTGTAGTCAATTGATTCAGTGATATTCAATATATGATTGTAGGTTTGTGAATTGAGTTAACAATGTCTGCCTCTGGTTCTGGAAGAGGGAGGAAGAGGAAAAATGTTGCGGGTAACCGAACGGATCCTGGTTGGGAACATGGAATTGAAATAGATGCTGCAACCAAAAAAGTATAATGCAAGTATTGTAATGTGACTCGATCGGGAGGTATATATAGATTAAAACATCATTTAGCTTGTACTCATCAAAATGTTGAGCCATGTCCTCAAGTCCCAGAAGATGTTAGAGGAAAGTTCATGAGTTTTTTAAGAACTCAAACATTAGAGTCTCAAAATAAAAAGAGAAAGATGTTTGTTGTTGGTGATGATTCTGAAGAGGAGGTGGAACTATTATCATGTCATCATCAAAACAAACAAAAACGGGTGGGTGCCATGGATAAATTTGTGATGAACAAATCTGGACGTCAAAATCAAAAAACTCTCAATCAAATGCTTAAGAAAGAAGAGAGAGATGATGTTTGTCAAACCATAGCTCGTTTTTTTTACACTAGTGCAATTCTTTTTAATTATGTCAACAACCTTATATTTCCACTCATGGTTAAGAAGATTGGGGATTATGGAAAAGGACTTGTGCCACCATCTTACCATGAAATTAGGGTGACATTTTTAAAAAAAGAAGTGCATGAGACACTACAATTGGTTGATGAGTTTAAGGAACAATGGAAGAAGACCGGATGTACAATTATGTCGGATGGATGGTTAGATAGAAATAGAAGATCCATATGTAATTTTCTTGTGAATAGCCCTAATGGAACTATTTTCTTGTCATCACTACATACATCCGACATTTCAAAAATGGGTGAAAAGGTTTTTGAGATGTTAGATGAGGTTGTTGAGAAGGTTGGAGAAGAAAATGTTGTGCAAGTTGTAATTGACAATGCTTCTAATTATAAATTGGCGGGATAAATGTTAATGGATAAGAGAAAGGGCTTGTTTTGGACTCCTTGTGCAGCCCATTGCATAGATTTGATGTTAGAAGATTTTGAGAAGGAAATACAAGTTCATCGTGTTACAATTGGTAAAGGAAAAAAGATTGTAGCATACATTTATTCAAGAACCAATCTTATTCATTGGATAAAGGAGTTTACAAAAGACATTGAACTTATAAGGCCTGCGGTAACCCGGTTTGCTACCTCTTACTTGACATTGAGACGTCTTCATGAGCAAAAAGGTGCATTGTTCTCTCTATTTACATCAAACAAGTGGAGGAATAGTAGATTTGCGAAGTTTGAAAAGGGGAAAAAAATTGAAAATATTGTTTTGGACAATCGATATTTTTGGAAGGGTGTTTCTACCTGCTTGAAGGCTGCAGTACCTCTCATTAAGGTACTTAGGTTGGTGGATTCGGATGAGCATCCGGCAATGGGATTCATTTATGAAGCAATGGATCGTACGAAAGAGGAAATTCAAAAGAATTTCAATAATGTCCTAAGATGGTAAACTTTTTATTTAGTGTTAGCTATTTATTTACTCTTTAATACTATTTCCCTAAACTTTTTATTTATTCATTAATAATATTTATTAAATTGTGTCAGCTATGATCCTATATGGGCCATCATTGATAGAAGATGGGAAACCCAACTCCATCACCCATTGCATGCTGCAGCATACTTCTTGAACCCTCAGCTTCATTATAGTCCCAATTTTCAAGCTGATGCAGAGATTAAAATTGGGTTGTACAAATGTCTTGAAAAAATGGTCCCTGATACTAATGAGAGGGTGAAGATAGATTTGCAAATTGATGCATTCAAGAATGCAAGAGGACTCTTTGGTATACAAAATACAATCTTGACTAGAAAAAAGAAATCTCCAGGTTATTTATTTTTACCCTAAGTTGATTTGTAAGTTGTATCAATCTTATGTTATGATTATTTGTTTTGAAGAACTTTAAATTTTGAACTACTTAATTAAAATTTCGATGTAGGGGATTGGTGGGACTCTTTTGGTGATGAATGTCCTGAGTTGAAGAGGTTTGCAATAAGGGTATTAAGTCTAACATGCAGTTCATCGGGGTGTGAGCGCAATTGGAGTGCTTTTGAGATGGTACACTCAAAGCGGAGGAATCGTTTACACCAAAAGAGAATGAATGACTTTGTCTTTGTCATGTACAATTTGAAACTGAGACAAAGGCACAAGAATAGACAATCAATCATGAATCCATTATGTTTGGATGATGTTCCATCAGACGATGAGTGGATAACAGAGAGAGAGAATCCGACTCTTCCAAGAGAAGGAAATTGGTTGCATGTGCTTGATAGGAATGCTCGACATGGATGTCATTCAGAAGATGAGGAGGCAGATGCTCTTGCAAGGGATTTGGAACAAGCATGTAAGTCTAGGTACATGATACATCTTTTAGTTTTAATTAGAAGTTGCAATTTGGATTTAATTTGGATTTTTTTTTTACTCCAACTTAGGCCGTGACCATATTGAAGAAAATGTCGATGAAATTCATGAAGTAAGTGATGATGATGATATGGATGACAACATGAATGCTCCAAGGGATTTTGATCATGACTTTGATGATGCTACTATTGGTGATGATGACATTGAGGAGTTGGGTGACACTGTGGGTGATGATGAAGATGAGGTAGACAATGAGATCGACAATGTTGTTGATTGTGGCAATGATGATTTCGGCAATGAAGATGATGACTTATTTTAGTCTCTTGTTTATTTATTCTTCTCTTATTTTAGTTTGTTTTGTTAAGGATATCAATGTTGTGCAAGTGTTAACTTGAAGACTTGAAGTTGAATTGCTATTTTCTTTTAGTATGTTCTTTTGTTAAGATTTGAGGAAGATGTTTGAATGACAACTTGAATTGCCACCTTCTTTTATTATGTTTTCTTTGTTTAAAAAAATGTGCAAAATGTATATTTTAATTGATTATTGTTAGTGCACAAGTGAGAATGCGAGGATTTGAACCTCGATCTGCTCATAAGTATGAGAGCTCTACCATTTGAGCTACATTCTCAAGTTTTTTTGGGTCATTTTATATGTATTTTGATAGTATTAGTTAGACATATAAGAATTATTGCATTTTTTCATCGTTTTAGTAGGATTTTACGATCCCCGATCCGATCCTCCAGACTCCCAAAACGATCCTATGTAGGATCCCGATCTTAACAACCTTGTTCATCAGTCACGGACATGGTTGTTTAATCTTTCTAAATATAATTGCATTCCAAATAATTTGAGTGAACAAACAGAATTCTAGTATTTAGCCCACAAACCCTGAACTTTGTAGGAAATAAAGTTTCCAACTTAATAACATGTAGAATTATCTTTCTCACTTTTAATATTTGGCAATATTTATCAAGGCTATTTCGTAATACAATGATGGACAAAATGACTAGATTCCTTAAAAGAATAAAACATGTAAAGCAAGTAATAAATAAGTTTGATTGACAAAACTAAAACATAGTTTTAACACAAATCCGGAAATCCAATTGCTTAAGAAGCATTGTAACCTTTGCTCTCAACTGTATAGATTCAGAAATCCAATGACTAGATTCATTTTTTTTTCCTGATAACATTAATCATTAGTTTTGCTTTTTCAAGCCCCGAATGCCTTTTTCGACTAAGTTTACGTTTTTTCAAATCATTAGTTTTTTTAGCATCAGTTTTGCTGTCTATAACAGTTAGAGCCTTCATGGCAGCAGAATCTAACCTCATGTAGCTGTGAAGATTGTACTGTCGAATACTATAACTTCCATAATTGCTCTCCTCAGCAAGTAGTTCTACAGAAGATAGCAATGAACCCAAACCCCAGGTGCAAATTGAAACCCAGATACAAAATCTCTAACTGGTTCTATAGAACCTTTGATAAGCCTACCAAGATCCTGCACCAACTCCCTTCCTTTAAACTCAGTTTTCTTTCTCTCTGTTACCATCACACGACATCTTGACGATGCATCTTGTAAAGGTTTATATGTATCATGACAAATAGGAAACCATATGAAGTACATAACCAATAATAATGTTTATGAAAGTAGAATTTCTTAAATTCTTGAACAGGATAGGGCATTAAAAATTGAAAGAAAACAGAGTTCTCAGTTTTAATTGACATGGAGCTGCAAATGCAATTTTTGGCCTGATAAGTTGCTGTATAGCACTTAGATAGGAAATACCTGAAGATTCACAATTACGAACTTTCCCCCACCACAGAGTGATTTTAGAGGCAAATTGCATGCAGGAGTTATCTGCAAACTGCAAAAGTAGCTGCTCTCATGATCATTGAATGACAAAATACACAGAACACAACACAACTGTTTGCCAAGGAGCTAAGGAAGAAAAGAGAGAGCAGAAAGAGAGAGATTGTATTATCAAGTCATAGATAACCTGTGGTTCTTCAAATTTTTTGGTAGATTTCATAGGAGAACTAAGTCTTGGGGATGGGCTTTGGAAGGAGTCTTTACTTTTTGGTTCATTTGTAGAATTCTTATATACTATGGCATCTTTCTTTAATATGCATACTTCAAAAAGAATTTAAAAAAAGAAGTAGATATTGAAATTACCTTGTCCCCAAGCATAACACAACATCAGCTACTTTGCAGTGTTTCTCTTCTGGATTCAACTCCTTTGGTGGTAAAGCATCCTGGAGGGAGAGAGAGAGAGAGATCGATAGATTATTAATATAACACTTTGCATCAAATTGCTCATTTATAGGCAATAAAGTTTGAGAACTAAATTAACATCTTAAAAAAAAGGCAGCGAAGAAACATAAAAACATATTTCACAGTGGTTGAACCAATCTCAAAAAGTATCTAAGAAACCTTCCCCATGTCACGAGGATACTCAAGAATGCCCCTTTTCTGAGGATTACATGGAAATAGAATTACTCCATGTCGTTTTCCAAAAAAATTGATGGCACTCCTTTCAATTGCTATTAAAACCAAAAGAGATACATTTAAGTGTTATGATCACTACAATTAATTAACTTCCTTTCCATGTGTACATTGAAACCCTCCCCCCCCCCCCAAAAAAAAAAATCCTGTGCCCTAAAATTGTTAATGGAAAGGGGCCATCTCGAGCCCCTCGAGCCTCGACCTCTCCCTGACCCGCTACCACCCTAGAACAAGAGCTCAACAATGGCTGTTTTTTGCTC